CTTTGTTGCCACCGCCATCCGATGTTGTTGTTTGCTCTCTCTTCGCGGCTGTCATAAATTATCAACGGCCAAGCGACCACAAGCGATGATGACAACCCCTCCCCCTCCCCCCTGCACTCAGAAAAAATAAAATGACTTCCAATGAAATTAAGATTGAAAAGTTCCCACTGACTTAAAGACCAGCCAAACAATAGAAATTAAATTTAAAATTCAATATCAAATATAGATGGTACTTCCCTTTCTCTCTGTGTACTTTTGCCCGCCTTTGAGCGACGCACTTAATCAACCATTAGAAATCTTCATTAGAACTGGCGTGTCCCCAAAAATAAAGTAAAGTAAAGGCATTTCGACTTTGTTTGCTTTGCACTTAAATAATTTAATTGCTTATAAAACAAACAAGTCGCTGGTGAACCATTTGAACAAATATTTCATTTAGTTTTATCACGGTTTTTTTTTTGTTGTATGCCGCCTTTAACCGATTCCATCTCGATTGATTGATTGACCGATGGACTGATTGACAGTTCAACACTCGTAGCTGTCAAATTTGAACAACTCGAAAGTGCAATCATCAGTTTTTGAACTCAAACTACCTCAAAAATGCTGCACCTTTTGCCAACGATTCAATGCCTAGGTTAAAATTAAATTAAAAAAAATATTTTCCAGTCATCAAAAGGTATGGCCATCGATCTTAAAAAAGAATATCAACATTTAATGTGTCGTCGGCATTTCATTGAATTTTATGATATCCAACGTTGAGCTTTAACATTTGCGCTAATTATTTTGCCACAATTAATTAACGCGCAAAATAAAAATAACATTAAACAAGAGCAGCAAAAAACGAATGAAAATAAATAAATATATAGAAACAAATACATGTATATATTTATATGTTTTGCGCGATATATAGATAAATGAAAACAGCTACGGCCTGGTCTATATATTTCGCACGGCTATATGCACCGATCTGTGCTGATCTTTTAACTCAATTAAAAGCGCGTACGAGCGCCAAAATTTTCAAAGGCACTTCGCTCTGTCCCTGTATATATACAAATATATATATATATACATATATGTGTGTGTTTGTGTTATATTTAAGTATATATCTATTTGGATACTGATGTGTGTGTGGGTCTACAAAAAATAGCCGACAATCCGACGCCGCTGGTTCTGCGTCATGTGAGTCAGCGACGTCGACTGCGGCTGCAACGCATTTGGCAACAGGCGAAAGTCTTTGGTCCATTTTCCTTTTGGCCACCAAAGCCACCAAAGCCACCATGCCACCAGCACGGTGACACATCTGCCCCCGCCACGCCCCCTTTTTGGGCCTTTTGGTCCTGTTTCTGTTGACTGTAATTAGCACATTGCATAGCCACAAAAAATAGAGACCATTAGTTTGTTGTCTTTATGCTGGGCATCGGTCCACCCCACAAAATGGTCAGAAAGTGGGTACCAAAAAATACTATAAAAAATAAATAAATTGCCTTTTTAAGTGCTCAAAATAGCCAAGCTTAAATAGTCAAACGAATGATTTAATTAAATATGATTTAATTTATTTTTCCGACCATCTTTAATTATTTCTTGTTAGAGTTTGCTTAGAAATCTGCAGTAAATTACAATCTTAAATGTTTTTGAAAATTATGATTCCTCAATTTTAGCTGACTTTTTTCGCCTGGCAACAAAAAGTGCTGCCAAAGAGGATGTCTTTAGTATTTTTAACATTTGTTTGCTAATGACTCGTATGCGGCAAATGTTTGCCCAGACACTTTCGAGTTTTGACTTTTTCCGTTGATGCACCATAATTTGTTGCACACACGCGTGTGTGTGTGTGAGTCAATGCACTGCGAAAAAAATAAGAAAAATAAGGGGAAATGGCGGCAGCAGACGAAGATGAGCGAACAAGAACACAATTTATTTCTAGACATATCGTCTTAAATTAAACTTAAAAATAAAGCATGTGGAATGCTCTTGTGTTGTTGCACACCCACGCTGCAATTTACAACCCCCCCCCCCATTCCCCATTCCCCTCCCCCCATCGCAATCATTATTATTTCGAACATTTTGCACAAAATATGTACATGGATATTATTCGAATTTCGGTGTTATTCCCATTCGGCTTGTCAATCAAATGGAAATGATCAGAAATTAATTCGCCCATAACCGAAATCAAATTCAGTTCACTTTGTTAAGTGCATAGGCAAACAAACAAATATCAATTTTTGCACAAACCAAAAAAAAAAAAAAAAACAGAAATTGGCCGCGTTTTTTTTTTTTTTTTCGCGGTCATACATCAAATGTCTAGACAAATTGTGGCAACACAATAATAATGGCAAAAACAACAGCTGAGGTTGAAAACAGGAAGTGGAGTGTCAGGAGAGCGAGATAGCGCCAAAGATGGGCTAGAAAATACGGCGGGGATTTTTCCACAAATTGTTATAATTATGGTTTTATAATTTCGCCAATTTTGGTATCGCTTCGTTTCATCGGTCTTTGATTTTCTCCCCTTACTTGTGCTGCTTTTTTTGTTTTTACATTTAACTAGCTGGCTTTTATTCCCATTCGATGATCGTATCAAGAGCTATCAACTTGAACTCATTTCACGATACAAATGAAAGCCTCTAAGTCGCTGCTAAATATTACTCAAATAATTTGTGATTTCGTATGGCCGCAATTAAATGAAATTTCTATTTAATTAATTTGATTGTTATGCGAGACACTTTTTGGGGAAATGTGTGACAGGCGGAGATCAAGACTTGCAATATGATTAACGGACCTGCCTGCGGATTATCGCTATATCCCCGATCTGGTTCTTCCTCTTCGCGGTTTTGCCTGCACAATTGTACACATAAATCTATTGCGCGGGGCTTATTTTTTCATCATCATTGTTTCGCCGCTGTTGTTGTTGTTGTTGTTGTATTTAAATTGTTTCGCACGCAAATAAAACTGGCGCCAATGACAAGCGGCAGCAGCAGCAGCAGCAGCGGCAACAACAAAATTGATAAACGTCGCGCGTCGTTAGCGCCACTTATCACGTATACGCCATGGCGCCGCGGATTCGGTGGTTCTGTGGCTAGGTGGATCTCTGTAGCTCAGTGGCTCAGTGGTTCAGTGGGTGGTTCGATTGCATCAAAAATATCTAGCTACCGCTATCACGTGTATTTAGCTAATTAGTTTATTGTCAAGCCCCCCCTCTCACCCCCCCTCCACTCGCTTTCTGTCTATTAGTTTATACTATTGTGCCATTTGGCGAGCAAACGCGAAAAGCGGCGGAGGAGCGATTATCAGGGCAGCATGGCCCGAGATATGGAATCGTGAATGATGTGTGCGATAACCGCGGGGGAGCCTCAGAACAAAAACAACTCACAACTCGCAACTCACCGACAACAGGTGTCAACTGCCGGTGATTTGATACACACAGCGAAATGTTTATTGCATATATGGCCACTGAATACATTTAAATATCAAAGGGTTTTAATAGATTCACTTCAGAAGGTTGTAACAATTTTCCTATAATTTATCTATTATTTCAAGATTCTAAATTTGTCTTAAGTTTTATTTTTCTTAAGCAAAAGTTGGTTTTTTTCAAACAAAAATTGCGTGCTTCAATTTGCGCGTTGCCGGAGCGTTTTACACGCGTTTTTCTTGCGACTTTGGCGCGTTTTGGCTGCGACCTTTATTTTAATTTAATTAATTTTTCTAGCTGCCGCCCCGCCCCCAAAAAAACCTATAGATTATGGGCCTTTGCCTTCCTTTTTATTGTTTTCTCCATAATTTGCTGCGGCGTTTTTGTCTTCTTGTTTCGTTTACATTTTTTATTAGTGGCGCCAAAAGTTTTAGCATAATTTTACCGAGACATCGGCGAATGTGTGTGTGTTGATATTGAAAATATATTAATAATATAAGGCGTCGCGTTTTCGATTTGCATACGATTTGTGGCATTTTGTGCAAAGTTTTGCCGCTCGCGCGCAGCCAATTAACGAGGAGACGAAATCAAAAACGTAATCCCAAAAATGCTGCTAATGAAATTGAGACTATCAAAGTGGATGCTGATGCTGATGCTCCCCTCGCCCCCTTGCCCCTCTTGCCCCCGAAACCCCCTTTCGATCTAATCCCACAATTTGACACTTGTTGGCGCCGCAGAATGACTCGGCCTCTTCTTCACTCCACTTACCTACACGGTAACAAAATGGGAATACATTCAATTTACATATCAATTTTATATTGTTAACTATTAAAGTTGATCTTTTAATATAAATATTTTGATAGATAGGAATTTTACAAAATTAAAGTTAAATAATAATAACTCTTTGAGTTTGGTCTTAAAAATAAATACCCGCTTAAAAAGTTATACACCTTAAACCATTTTAAAAATATCTTTAGCTTTCTCAATAGCTAAATTACTTGATCAATAATGGGCAAATTTTTTCCCAGTGCATTTCCCTTGCATTTGTAATTGAAAACGCTGCCGGAAGCGACTCAACGCCTCTCAGCGAATGTGGCGCCAGTTTTTTGTTCGTTTCGCCGCTTTTGGCTGAAAACGTTCTGCAATTCTGATTGCATCTGTATCGGTATCCGAATAGGTATCTGTATCTGTATCCGTATCTGTATCTGTATCTGTATCGGTCTACTCTACCCACCCGAATCGGAGTGGAAAACCTGAAGATGGGCCTCCAACTGTGGGGCTCCTTCGGTGGAAGTTAATTAGTTGCTGATCGATTGGCAATCCCCTTTGGATTCCATCTTCACTTCGACTGTGGGCGTCTGTCATTTGAATTTTATGAATTTTCATTATTATTATTAACCTCGCTTTGCATCATCATCATCCGCTGCTGATATTGTATAGGCATTGTATATATAGGCAATTGCACTGGCGACTGGCGCCAGCAACCTGAAAAAAAACATATATGTATATAAAATCCCATAGATCTTAAATGGCAATTGAGGAAACACAACGCAACAGAATCAGATATTTATTTTTGCCTTTTCATTTCCTTTACTTTCAGTCACCGAATGTCAGTTTGGCAAAGTTCTGCGCGAATTAGGCTCGACCTGGTATGCGGATTTGGGTCCACCCTTCGGCGTTATGTACTGCATCAAGTGTGAATGCGTGGCGGTAAGTGATCAACTCAACTAACTATTAGACATACGAAAAAATCAAGCTTAAGTATTAGAAAAACGCACAAAACAACTAACTAAAAAAAGGCAGAATTTCCGTATGAAAAGCGGTTGGAAAATTCACCTCAGATGCAAACGGCTAACAAATTCCGCCTGAGCAGATTGACTAATGACCGTCGACATTCGCCACAAGCTGAGGAAAATCGACGGGGGAAAAGTGCCACTGAAAGGCGAATGAAAATGATTGTGTTTTCGGTTTTGGGCGCGCCTAATTTATGGCATTTCCACGCATGATTAATATCGATTTTAAAGCTCTTTATGCGATACGTTACGAATCAGAATCAGCGCCAAATATTCTATAGACAGCCGGGTTCAGCCTTGCCAAATTGAAAAACAAATTCATCGTTTTCGTGAATGCTCGATCGAATTACGCAAAACTGCCCAAGAAATGTTGCAGTGCGAAACGAAAAGGAAAAAAAAAAACAAAAAAAGGCAAATAAAAGGGGGGAAACGAGGGCAAGCCTGAGCAATTTTCCCAAGCGACACATAAAAATGTCACACTCGTGTCCTCGCCGGGTAAAAAACACCAGATCCATATAGATATAGATGCGTATTCGTGGTCGGGAGACAAAAATTAATTGACGCCATCGGGCGTGAGTTGTTGTTGCTAGTCTGCGATGGACCAGACGGGCCAGATATATGCAGATATATATATATATATATATATCGAATATATATATGGATATGTGACTATATGGATATGGGGTCCGGTCACAAGCTGCGATTTCTCCAGTGTACAACGAGTATATATTTTTTGTTAATTTTTAATGTGCATTGCATAAAAGTCAGCTTTGAAATTAATTAATTATAATTTATGTCGGCTGCAAGCGTCGCAAATGAGCACATCATAAAATTATTTAAAACATGTTGCTGCTGTTGAACTTTAAGCACAGCGGCAACATCATCATCATCAGCGGCGCTGGCGACCAATAAAAATTAATAATAAAAAACAGAGGAACATCAAAAAGACAAACAGCACAGCAGCAGTAGAAGCAGCAGCAGCACAGCGAATTCATAAAAATATAATTATAAAAAGGCACACAGGCGAACACGCGGACTTCTATATTTATATAGACCATAGACCCGATATCGGGATGAGATTTGGACCGGCTTGATTTAGACCAGATTCGGTGGCTGAGAAGGCATAAATCACGGCGACCGGGACAGGTGACAGGCCTGGGAATCTGCATTACTAATTCCAATTAATTTTCCATTTCGCCGCTCTATTCGCATCTTAATTTTCCTATTTCCTCATTTTTTTTTTTTTTTTTTGTTTTCAGATACCCAAGAAGCGCCGCATCGTTGCACGCGTCCAGTGTCGCAATATTAAGAACGAGTGTCCGCCGGCCAAATGCGATGATCCCATCTCGCTGCCCGGAAAATGCTGCAAGACCTGTCCCGGCGATCGGAACGGTAAGTCCAAAAGATCCAAGAGATCGAAGAGATCCAAAAGATCCACATCCCAATGCAATATCGATTACGGGCGGGGCAAGCAAATGCTTTAAAGAAAGTTATAACCACCCAATGAGCACATTAAATTGGCCTTTAAAAATAATATAGCACATAACCAAAACAATTCGCAGTCATAATTTCCGAAGAATGTTTCAATATTTTGACACTGAAAACGGCCTGTTTGATGGCATAAATCGGGATTAGAGGGGCATTAGGCATCTGACCGAATGATTTGGGCCGATATCGCGGCTATATCTGTTCGTCTGCTGGCCACATAGCCATGAATAATTAAGCGTACCATCCACGGCAGCTGCCAGGGGGACAAAAAAAGATATTATGATGCCCAGAAGGCTCCACCCCCCCCCCCCTCCTCCCTCCCCACCTTTGTCATATGTATGTGGCCGAAACGCGTAAATTGTTTATGAAAAATTACTTGGCCCGAAATGAAGGTCAGCGCTACGCAATTTATATTTCGTTTTTATGTCTCAGTCAGTCAGCCTCTGTCGCCGGCGATCATGATGATGATGATGATGATGATGAAGATGATGATGATGATGATTCTACTGATGATTCCTATTCCCTGGTCCACGTCCACGTCCACTACTTCGGATAATGGCCATTGGGCATGTGGTGTCGCTCTTTTTATTTCGGTGACATTTGCATTTATTTATTTGCCATCGTCGTAGTCGCCTTTAGTCGTTTTTTGTGTGTGCGCCCGCCGCTTTTTGTTTTATTTTCAATCTATTTTATATCGCCCGAACAACGCACCAACGAACGAACGGCGCCTGAAGTTGTTTCTGGGCGCAACATTATCGGATCGGAACAACAAGAGTATTTCAAGTATTTGTTTGAGCACTTTGCCTGGGTCCCATTGGGGGCGCACGTGCCGCATTCGAAGCGCCCTAATAGACCAATTATACCGGGAGTTCAATTCTCTGGCAGCAGAACCAAATCCACCCATTCGCCCAATTTCATTCACTTTTATTTCCCGGCAGCTGCATTAATTTATGATTAGACTGAATCACCCACCGCTTGGCTTTGCCTAATTTTCCATCCGAATTCAATGCACAATTGGCAATGGTTTTTCTTTTTGTTTTGCAGAGAAAATGTTGCCTCTTTCTCTGTGACATTTTTCACATAATCAGGCGAGTGCTGCCTGAATTCCAGTCGCCAAGTTGCTGCTGCTGCTGCATGTTGTATGTTGCTAGTTGCTGGTTGGTAGTTGCTGGTTGGCAGTTGCCAGTTGCCAGTTGCTGTGTGGCATGGGGCAAACTGGTTGCCACCGAACGGGGGAATGGGGTTAAGGGGGCTGCGAGGGGTTAAGGCGGTCGCTGCATCACATCATTAGTTTCCGTTTTGCGGCAATTTTTCATTTGCTTATGCAAAGAGCCGTTGACCCGCGGACCTTCCACCCGAAAACAATTTCACTTTTCCGCTGTATTTTACCGATTGGTTATGGCTTGCTACTTTTGTACTTCTTTTTTCTTTTTTTTTTTTTTTTTTCTTTGAGTTTTAAGTTTTGCCCCTACGTTCAAAAGAAACTCCCAACGCAACTCGTTTGCCATAAATAGTTAGAAGGCACGGGCGCGGCTTTTCCAGCGAGACTCTTTGGCTCTCACGCAGTCACCGGCTGACTAGTCAGCCATCTAGCCATCTAGCCATCTAGCCATCTAGCCACCAGCTAGCCATCTAGCTAGCCATCTAGCCTGGGCTATTGTACAAATATTTCGCTGCAACAACAGCAACAAAGCACAACGGCAGCAGTTTCATCTACAGCAGCCAGGCTCGCAACGATCGTTTCCAAAGTTATTTTTTGCCTAACTTGGTTTTTGCCCCATACTCCGCATATTATGCCTGCACGCAGAAAAAATGATTGCAGTAAAGTATTAGATAGAATTCTGAAATTGAGTTTTTAAATTGTGGTTTTGGCATATACAAAAGTAAAACCTATTTAAAACTTGATAACTATTTCAAATAGAAAACAAAACAAAACTTAGAAGAAGGAAACTCTCAATAACTTTATTCCAATTTAATTTGATTTTTTTTTCATTGTACAACGAGCAGTGTCAGGCCTACAAGTGCAGATCTTTAGGAGAGCGGAGCAGTGGCCCAACTTAGCCAGGCCCCACTGTACTCGGGCTCGTCCTGGGCAAGTTGTCAGGCCCGAAGACCCGATGCCTGGAGCCTGAAGCTCATGACATGGCCATATAATCAACATCAACAATTGCCTACCTTCGTTAAATGTCCATTTTGGGATCGAATCTTTTGGCTCTTCCCCGCCAATTCCACCAACCCCCTCCAATCCCCTCCTGCGACCACGAATGCGAAGAGCGAACGGCATTAATTTATGCCTGGTATTTTTTGTTCGTTCATTTTTATAATGACATAACTCGGGCATTTTAACGCTTATTAAATTATCTCATTTGCCGCCACAAACGGCGGGCGGTCCCCGATTGGAGAGAAAGGGAGAGAGAGTAGGGGGCGGGGGCGGGGACGGGGTTATATCCCCAGGTAGACAATAAAAGTTAATGTTTTCGATTCCATCGACTCTCATCGCATCGCATCGCATCGATCCCATTAGGCGAGTCGCCCGAGTTGACAATTCAACTTGATGACATCTTTTGTGGTCGTGGTCAACAGCGCAGTCCATCCCTTTTTTCCCCCCAAAGATACCCAGATACTAAGATACCAAGATACCACGATCCCAAGATCGGAATCCAGATCGAAGATCGCTGCCAGCAACATCAGCAGCAACTTTGTTGTGCCACAAAAGGATCGCCGGGCCAAATTCATTTTTATGGCCGGGCGTGAGGTGCGCCATCGAACAATAAAATCCTCAACTTTATCTTTATCTGTATCTTTATCGGTTCTGCATCGGCAGCGGCAGCGGCGAACGGAACTGTCTATTATATTCCCACTCTCTACGGCCTTTTTCCTAAGTGGAGATTGTGGATCGCGATAAGGCTGAGAAATAGAGCTAACAAGGCGTCGGGTTGGGTTCGAAAACAATCAGAATCGAATGATCTGAACCGGGGATTATAATGGTATAGAGAAGAGCTAAAAAGAGTTAACGATCGTTGCGAGGGGAGGATTATGCAGAGCATACTGGGAGATCTTCCATAGACTTTCTTTATTTATTAAAGTTTAGCAATTTTATTACCACCTCTAACACTCTGCATACAAAATACCTCAAACTAGTCTTCCAACTGTGTGTCGTAAAGCACTTCTCCAAATCCCACACTCCACTTTGCCAGTTTATGATTGTTCATGGTGCTGATCCCACACCTGGTAATATGACATGAAATTCGAGACAGATTTATCAAATCATTCTCACGTGCTCGGGATTTCTTCGGAAACCGTATAGCTCTGATCGCCGCACATTTAGCCACCATTTGAGGGAAACACTTTCAAACGATTCTATTTTCTGTTTTCTGTTTTTTGTTTTTTTTCTGTTTATTCCCCCTTCGGGTTTCTTCAGTTTTGTTAATGAGCTGCCGCCGAGATTCTTTTGGGGCCGGCCCCACATACCAAAGCGTTGAGTCAATGCCGAGGTGTCGTTTGTCTTTCGGTCGCGGCTTTGTCGGCTTCATTCCGCTGCGTCTTATTCCCCTTGTCCGTTTGTCCATCTGTCCGTTTGTCCATCTGTCCGTTTGTCCGTCTCTCCGCTGAAGGGGTTACCCCAACCACTTCCACCCCCTCCCCCCCCTAAAGGCAACGTGTCGTCGTCTTTGTGCGCACCAAAACTCATTTATCTTGGCTTACAGCGAGCAGGAGAAAAAGACCCGCAAAAAAAGAACGAAATTTTCATTCATCTGCAAGCGCGATTCAAGGGCAGAGATGCCTGCGACTGCGACTGCGACTTCGGACTCCGTTCGGAAGACACCAATAAGCCCCAAGAATGTAGAGCCACAAATTGAAAAAAAAGAAGTGAGCCGAGGCGAGTTGGAGTCGAAGCTAAGGCCAAAACTGGCTGGCTGGATGGCTGGATGGCTGGCGAAGTGGCTCGTATTAAGATCAGGCGATAAGATCGGACAGCAGAAGCCGCAGAGACCCAGGCGAACCCTGGTGCGGGGCTCTCAATAAAATGCTATACAAGGTGTCAGATTTGTCGCCCTTCATTATGCGATGGCGGCCCCAAGTTCTTTTCCCTTTTTTTTCCTTTACTTTTTTTTTTTTGTTATTTTTTTTTTGCGGCTTAAAGGCCGGGGATTTGAGAAGGAGCAGCATAAAATAATCGAAATGCCAATGCGGCATCATCGACAGGGCGAAGAATCAGAGTTCCAATCCTCCAGTACTTCGACTCCGTCTGGCTTTAATCAGCTTTTGTCGGGGACTGCCACTTCTAACGAACTGAGAGCTGGGGAGCGTGATTCCAATTCCAATTCTGATTTGCTGATGGTGATTTATGCGCAGGTTCCCGGGTGTCAATCAGCGGGACAGCAGCGGAAATGTGTCCACCCACTTTCACGCCGAAGGTCCAACATCCCAGGTTGAGGTCCAGGTCCAAAAGATCAAATGAGCGTGTCATGTGGATTCCGGGAACTCCGGCAGTGCGACACAAAGCACTTCCCTAGTTAGATGTGGGTTAGACTTCCCGTTCTCCGTTCTCTGCTCTACCTGCCCTCAATTTATGCACGATTAATGAATGCCACCTGGGTGGAGGAGAGGGTCTTAGTTCAGGCTCCTACCTGGCTGCCATTCATGATGATCCCCTGGCATTCCGTCGCCCTTCATTCACATTCACAGTCACATTCACATTCACATCCACAGTCACCCATTCAACTGGAACTGAAACTAGATGAATAGTCCGGAATTCTGGATGGTGAATGGCTTGGCCGTTGGGCGGTACGGCTGCTTTGAAGCATTTGTTGCTATCTAAATTCCATTTAAGACCCTAAGACCCTATCGCACAGCATCTCATCCTCTGTTCTATTCTCTCCATCTTGCAGATACGGAAGTGGCCTTGGATGTGCCAGTGCCCAGCGAAGAGGAAGAGCGCAACATGAAACGTAAGTACAAAGGACAAGTCCGCAGGACACCCCGTAGAATCCGGCGAAACCCGGTGGAATGCTGGCGAATAAGCCCCCTTCCCACACACATCTAACATACCACCTTCTCCACCCCTCTCTCCCCACATCCAGATTACGCTGCGCTGCTGACGGGCCGCACTTCCTACTTCCTCAAAGGCGAGGAGATGAAGTCCATGTACTCCACCTACAATCCGCAGAACGTGGTGGCCACCGCCCGCTTTCTGTTCCACAAGAAGAACCTCTACTACTCGTTCTACACCTCGTCGCGCATCGGTCGTCCGCGGGCCATTCAGTTCGTGGACGATGCCGGCGTCATCCTGGAGGAGCACCAGCTGGAGACCACGCTGGCGGGCACCCTGAGTGTCTACCAGAATGCCACCGGCAAGATCTGCGGCGTGTGGCGTCGTGTGCCCAGGGACTACAAGCGCATCCTGCGTGATGACCGCCTCCATGTGGTCCTCCTCTGGGGCAACAAGCAGCAGTCGGAGCTGGCTTTGGCCGGCAAAGTGGCCAAGTACACGGCACTGCAGACGGAGCTGTTCAGTTCGCTGCTGGAGGCGCCACAAACGCAACCCGACGGCAAGACGGATCCCCAGTTGGCCGGAGCCGGTGGCACGGCCATTGTGTCCACCAGCAGTGGAGCCGCCTCCTCCATGCACCTCACCCTGGTCTTCAACGGCGTCTTCGGCGCCGAGGAGTTCGCCGACGCGGCACTGAGTGTGAGGATCGAGCTGCCGGAACGCAAGGAGGTGATCTTCGATGAGGTGCCGCGGGTGCGCAAACCCTCCGCCGAGATCAATGTCCTGGAGCTGTCCTCGCCCATCTCGATCCAGAACCTGCGTCTGATGTCCCGCGGCAAACTGCTGCTGACGGTGGAGTCCAAGAAGTATCCCCAGCTCCGCATCCAGGGTCATATTGTGACCCGGGCCAGCTGCGAGATCTTCCAAACTCTGCTGGCGCCGCACAGTTCCGAGTCCGCCACCAAGAGCAGTGGTTTGGCCTGGGTCTACCTGAACACCGACGGCTCCCTGGCCTACAACATCGAGACGGAGCACGTGAACACCCGCGACCGACCCAACATCAGCCTGGTGGAGGAGCAGGGCAAGCGCAAGGCCAAGCTGGAGGACCTCACACCCAGTTTCAACTTCAACCAGGCCATTGGCAGCGTGGACAAGCTGGGCCCCAAGGTCCTGGAGTCGCTCTACGCCGGCGAGCTGGGCGTGAACGTGGCCACCGAGCACGAGACGAGCCTGATCCGAGGACGACTGGTCCCACGACCCGTGGCCGATGCCCGCGACTCCGCCGAACCGATCCTGCTGAAGCGACAGGAGCAGTCGGAGGCGCAGAATCCACATGCCGTGGGCATGGCCTGGATGTCGATCGACAACGAGTGCAACCTGCACTACGAGGTGACCCTCAACGGAGTGCCCGCCCAGGATCTGCAGCTGTATCTCGAGGAGAAGCCCATCGAGGCGATTGGGGCACCGGTGACGAGGAAGCTGCTCGAAGAATTCAACGGCTCCTACCTGGAGGGCTTCTTCCTCAGCATGCCCTCCGCGGAACTGATCAAGCTGGAGATGAGCGTCTGCTACCTGGAGGTGCACTCGAAGCACTCCAAGCAGCTGCTCCTGCGCGGCAAACTGAAGAGCACCAAGGTGCCGGGCCACTGTTTCCCCGTCTACACGGACAACAATGTGCCGGTGCCCGGTGACCACAACGACAACCACCTGGCCAACGGGGAGACCAAGTGCTTCCACTCCGGTCGCTTCTACAACGAGTCGGAGCAGTGGCGCAGTGCCCAGGATGCCTGCCAGATGTGCGCCTGCCTGCGTGGCCAGTCCAGTTGCGAGGTGATCAAGTGTCCGGCGGTCAAGTGCCGCTCCGCCACGGAGCAGATGCTGCAGCGCGAGGGCGAGTGCTGCCCCAGCTGCGTGTCCAAGAAGGAGGCCGCCGAGTGGTCGGCCATGTCCTCCTCCTCCTCGCCGGCCACCAATGCCACCGATCTGCTGCAACAGCGACGCGGCTGCCGACTGGGCGAGCAGTTCCATCCCGCCGGCGCCAGCTGGCATCCGTTCCTGCCGCCCAACGGCTTCGACACCTGCACCACCTGCAGCTGCGACCCGCTCACTTTGGAGATCCGCTGCCCCCGCCTGGTGTGCCCGCCGCTGCAGTGCAGCGAGAAGCTGGCCTACCGTCCCGACAAGAAGGCCTGCTGCAAGGTGTGTCCCGAGGGCAAGCAGAGCAGCTCCGGCAACCACAAGGCCACGCCCAACAACCCCAACGTGCTGCAGGACCAGGCCATGCAGCGCTCCCCCAGCCACAGTGCCGAGGAGGTCCTGGCCAGCGGCGGCTGCAAGGTGGTGAACAAGGTCTACGAGAACGGCCAGGAGTGGCACCCCATCCTCATGTCCCACGGCGAGCAGAAGTGCATCAAGTGCCGCTGCAAGGTTAGTTTCGTTGGTTTTTCTTTTTCTTTCCACTTTGCCCTTTTTTTGTTACCAAATTGGAAGGGTTAACTCTTTGACTTAAGGCCAGTATTCCAGCCAACTTAAAACATATTAATATCCAAAACCTTTTTAAATACATTATACATTTGTTTTGGTGGAGATTTCGTTAGCTGGCATACTGACCCTTAAGGAAATTGCATCTCTATTTTTAGAATCAATTGAAATTTAAATATAATTTGTAATACCCAATAATTCCACTTTAATTTTTGTTACTTTAATTTAACTCTTTCAATTTTTTTGATATACCTCTAACATTTTCAATTAAAAATTTAAGTAAATTTGAGGTTTTGATATAATCTGTAAGTTTCATATCATAACAATAAAATTAATTAAAATGCTACAATTTAAATTGCAAAATTGAAGAGTTGAGTCTTAAATTAAAATTAAAAAAAATTAATTAAAATGCTACAATTTATGTTTAAAATTTAAAGTAAAGTTGAGTCTTAAATTGAAAGGAGTTTCTACATAACTGTTTGAGCTTAAGCAATTAGTTAAATGACACCATTTTATATATCTTTTCCGAGCTTGTAACTAATGAGACATTTTTGTTTTATTCTATTTAAAGGACTCCAAGGTGAACTGCGACCGCAAGCGCTGCTCCCGCTCCACGTGCCAGCAGCAGACCCGCGTGTCCAGCAAGCGGCGCCTGTTCGAGAAGCCGGACGCAGTGGCTCCGGCCATCGACGAGTGCTGCTCCACCCAGTGCCGCCGGTCGAGGCGCCACCACAAGCGGCAGCCGCACCACCAGCAGCGCTCCTCCAGTTGAGCGATCCCCTCCAGTTGAGGATGGCAGGGCAGCAGGATGGACCCGGATCCAGATCCAGATCCAGAGGACCACTCCAGATCCACGGGGGAAACCACTTACTCACTCAGTGCGATGTGCACCACCCGATCACACACCCACACAACCGCACACCCACCCACACTCACATCACCCACACAATCGAGCATACACACACACTTGTGCAAGGACTTGCATAGATCGTTGTTGTTATGTGGCAGCAATGGAAACTTGTATTATATATATGAAAACAAAGGGAGAAACGGAGAATTCTCATTAACGAAAAATACAAAAAAAAAAAAATGAATGGAGAAAATAGAGAAACAGAGAGGGATAGAGAGATATTGAGATCCTTAGAAAAGGACATTAAAACCAGTGCAGTTTGCTTTAAATTCTCCAAACGCAGAATTTTCTATTGAAGCATTTTCTGAATTTCTTTTCACAAAAATCTACCCACCCCCATTAATAACCCCCAAAAAACATTAAAATTAAATTTTAATTTATTAAAAAATATCATAAAAATCACACAAAAAAAAAAACACACAACCAAAAACAAAAAGAAATCGAAATTAAAACTGTACTGAGTTTTGAAAACGCACACATTTGACTTATTGAAATACTTAAACCTTTTCAATTCATTTAAATTAAAATTTAAATTGAAATTTGAAAGCAAATCGATAACGCAGCAGCTATCGTGGGAATATTAACTTAAATCTAATTATTCTGATTATACATATATATACCATATTTTTTATATATACATATATATACAGATACATATATATCTATATAATTTATGAGAAACAAAACACAGTGGGAAACGCATTTGGCGCATTATGTGGTTATCGACATTTGTATCGATAGATATATTTTAGCAACCCAAAAGTTTCAACTGATTGACTGAATGGCAAAAATAAAATTAGCTTTAAAAATGTTTATTCGCAAGCAAGAAAGTGAAGAAAATTGAAAACGCGGCTTTTCAATGTGAAATTATTTTGTACTAATTGTTACTCACACCAACACACACACGCACACATACATTTAGAAATCGACATGCACACACATACACATTGAAAAGTTTTTATTTCTTTTTAGGAGTATACTTTTAAATTAAAATACATTTTATGGAAAATTTTCAATAATTATGTACAAAATTTGTTAAAAAAAAAAAAGAAAACTATTTCAAAAAATGCCATGTACACATATTTATACACAAAACACACACCCATACACACATAAAAAGAACAAAATGAAAAAAGAAACAAAAAGATAAGGAAATTTACCGCATACACAGACAGAAATTGTATTAATTTTTTATTCTATTAAATTATTCTTATTATTATTATTTTATGTTTATTATTATTATAATGTTTTTTTTTGTAGCTCGTAAAAACATACATATATATATATTTTAAATAATTGATTAAATGCAATCAAAAATATTTAAAACGATGAAGAGCTAAACAAACTTGTACTAATAACTTATATTTAGTGTTTATGAATTAAACAAAAAGTTAAAATCAAAAAAACAACAACAAAACACACACACAGAGAATAAACAAAAACTACAAAATCATAAAGCTTTTATTTTTTTTACTTACGACGATCGTGAGATGATGAATTTATTTGATTTTTATTCAATGCGCAAAAGCAAGAACAACTAAACAACTAAACAAAACAAATCCGAACTATGGAAACAGAAGAACAAATAGAAATACAAAAGAGTGAATCAAGATATTGACGAAATATATTCAAAAAATATATATGTATATATTTATATATATATACACAACAACAATCAAATTCCGCTCGTTTTACTGATCTGTGGGCCAGCGTTCTTTTTTTTTTCTTTTTTTTTTTTTGACCTCTCCTATTAGGCAACTCAATTTTCGGAATGGCAATTTGCCGCAGACACTCAGACAATTATACCTATAAAATATATTATAGAGCAATTATCTCTCGGTTTTTATAACCGACACATCAAATTATCCAAATGGCTTTCATGGCCCAAAAATGATGATTGTCAAATGCCTTTTTTCGGCGATTTTGGGCGTTTTGCATTCGACAGTTTCTCACATTTCCGGCCAAACATTTGATTAAATTGCCACAGAAAGTATCTCATTATTTAATTTGCAAACAACGAATATGTGGCTTTAATTTGTGTTTTTTTAGAGAACCAACAATGGAGAGTTTCCTATCTCTCCTAAATTTTCAACCATATTGGGAATTATTGGACCACAAATTTAACTATATTTCTTGACAAAAATAATACTCTGTTTAAAAGCGACTGATCATTTGGGCTCTTACAAACAATATACATCCTAAATGAGCTTTAATGCCTAATTTTCCACAACATTTGATCCACATTATAATTCCAGCAGATTAGAGAAGCAAAATCAGCAGCCTGTGCGAATGCCATTGTGAGCCAAGTTGTTGCCACTGCAGTTGATGTGGTTGCCTTTGAATGAAATCGAATAATTAAATATTGGCATAGTCACACCTTGTTGACAATTATTGACAGGCTGATTGGCAAACAAATGAATATACTTCAGCCATTGCCGTTTTTGAGCTGTCGAGGGGCGCGGCCCAGTGGCACGACAATTTGAATCTGCCCTGTGACTCTGAGTTTGATACACTGAACAAAATCCTTCAAATTTACATTTTGTATTTCAGAATAAATAAAAAAGTTTTAAAATGGTATTTCTATTAACGGGTTAGATAAGATAAATAATGAAATATGTATAGAAAGTTCAAACTGGTATACAATTTAAAGAATCTTTTTCAAAGTTACAGTTTATACAAATTTTTAAAATAAATAGTCTATAATTTATCTAAATATATGTGATTCCATTTCAACAGTCTATGATTATTTGTTATTGAATAGTTTATCTTGCAAGTAAATAAAACATTTAAACAGCGAAAATTATCCGGTTTCTTAGCAGAATAATTGTGTTTTCAATATTTTTTTAAAGTAGTATAAAATTTATCACATTTAAAACCATATGTGAGTTTATTTTTACCGTGTATATTATTTAATTAAAAGTTAATCTTCAAATAAATCGAATATTTTGAAATATCAAATATTATCTTACCTTAGATGTGTTATTGTTATCCAATGTTTTTTAAATGACACCTGTCACATAAATAAATATATAAATCAAAATATTAAAAATATTTTTTTAGCTAAAAAGTACGAATTCTTCTAACAAAATGTTGTTTGATGTTAAAATGATATTTCTACAGTGTAAAAAGCCAAGAGTTCCCTTAAAATGCTAATCTTGAGTGTTGATACTCGAAGGTATGGTGTTTTTTCTTGCCGTGCATGTGTGTGTGGGTGGGTGGCGGTGGGAGGTGATAGGTGATGGGCGGTGGCTGTGGCTGTGGTGGGTGTGGCAGCTACCGAAAGCAGCCGGAGGAGATTCGAATCTGCAGCATCCGTCATGGGACGCGGGAATCCGAGGCATTGGCGTTGGCGTTCCGCAATTCGTGTTGACAGTATCTCGTGGATATCGGATATCAATCGCCGGCCCATCTGGGAGCTGGCATTTGCATTTCGGCGCTATCAATTAATTGAGTTGGCCCGGCCAAACCCTTCGGATCGGACCGATAAGCCCCGTCACACCATAATATCCACCGCAGATGATATCTGCACTCGCTTATTTATGTGTCACACCAAACACGCTCACGACATTTAACCAGCCAGTCTAATACTCGTATTTGTACTCGTACTCGTACTCGTATTCATAGTCGTATTCGTTGTCGCACTCATAATCATCAATTATCCGCTGCTGTCTGATTTTCATTCGCAGTCGCGCGGGTAATTGCCGCAAATATGCAAAGCATGTGTTAAACTTTATTGATATACAATGTGAATAAACGTTTGCCTAACTTTGTTTTGATTGCAGCTGTCACTGCACCGCACTCACTGAAATCAATTCACCTTTCAATAGCCCGGCCACGACTTTGCGATACACTTTTATTGGCCCAGACTGCCGATGGCAGCCGATTAAACGCTCAAATAGATCACGAATAGTCTACACTGAAAACATAAAGCAAATGCCTAAAACTGTAAATTAAATATTCAAAGGCAATATCGATTCACGGCTTAGTAATACCCATGATTAAATAATAAACATCGTCCATTGTTGTTTAGCAATGAACTCATTTTGAATTCTATGATTAAGGTAAGCGACCCATTTTAGGTTCTTTATTAGTTTTAAATATATAAAATTACGGTTAGTTATACTAGTTATTCAGAAACGTTATCTGTTCTTTTACCTCCTGTTTAAAATTCTAAAACGTTAAAAAGCATTCACAAGTCAATACGATTTCAATCTGGAATCGATAGTTTGGTGCAACCAATTTTGGCTACGTTTAGTAGAGAAAACCATTACAAAATTAAAATAAACAACACTAGTTTCGGTTTTCAAACCAAAACCCTGGTAAATAATGATTCAATGTTGGAATGTTAATGCTTTTTGAATTCGTTTTAAATTTCACAGTTGAAAAAGTTTATTTAAAGCCAATTTTTCAAAAAATCATGATGTTATCCAGTATAAAAAATGAGAAAATCGGTCATTTTTTTCTGAATCAACCTGAAATCAACAAATCAGGTACTCAGCCTCACAAAACATTATTTCTGTTTGTCCTGCTTTGTATTTTGGCTATGTTAAAACAAAAATGCCGTATAAATTTTATTTATGTCCAATATCCCGAATCGGAAAACTCTGGGGAAATAATGGACAAATCTTGAATTCGTTTTGAAATTTTTAATAGATTTACACTCACATTTATTGAGTTTACTATCAAATATAAAAGCGCAGTCATCACGTTTCTGAGTGACTGCAAGGGTATTAAACCTTCGGCTTGCCAAAGTAAGCTTCCGTTCTCGTTTTATATTTTTATTGGTGAAATAAAGTTATAAATGTATTAATAGGCTTTTTATCTGGAGGTGAAGTAATTTTTTGCTATTTATCTTTATAGCCTTTTTAAAAATTGTTTTACACAATCATCCCTGAGTCAAGTTCTGCGAAAAAATATTATTAATAATTGCATATCTTTGCAAACATTTTGTGGTATATTTATTGATAGCACCTAAGACCTTACTCAATCTTATCATTTGTATTTTTAAATGTTTTAATTGCCCTTTTAAGAACCACGTATAAGATTATTATGAAATGGCCGTTTCCTTAATAACTAAAATATTTGTTGTTCTTACTTTCATCTATTTATTTACCAATGATACCTGCAATACTATTTCTCGGAACTGCTATCCTAGATTATTAACTTAATAACTAAAATATTTGTTGT